ATAGATATGTGCCTTTGTTTCATGATCTGCTTAACAATAGCGAAATGATGGCCATTTTAAGGCTGAAAATGCATCAAAATCACGTATTTTCACAATTCCAGAACCGGATCTCAGTCATGCATGGATGGATTTTGTTCAGATTTAGCACAATGTGTTGTACATATGCAGGTGCATTTCAGTCATGATCTGCTTTGAATGTATATGTCACTCAAATATGAACGGAACGGGGACGTGTCATTGACAATGACTTGTTTTGCTTATTTCACTGACTGGAAAATGCGCTAAATTGAAACCCGGTGAATATGTCAATTTAGCATAGAACACATTATCTAAATGACAAAACCGTGAATTTAAAACCCACTGACTATGCCTGAAATGGTAAATCAGTGAAATTTAAACCCAGTGAAAATTAGTCATTTTACAGTATACTTGACAATTAGCAATCTGCATAATAAGCCATTACCGTACTGTTGTAATCACTATTAAAATATTAGTGTAAAAAGCCAGCTAATTTGTCAACACATATTCATGGTATTGACATTACTTGTGGGTTACTAATGCATGTACCGGTAGTTTTGTTTTGCATTTTGATTCCAAATACCCTGACTGGTGGCCATTTTTAGTCCCTGTTCGGACAGTCCGAAAACGGGGACTTATGTTTTGACCTCCGTGTGTGCGTGCGTCCGGACCTGTATCTTAGAAATGCCTGGACCAATCACAATCAAACTTCACACATACATCATGCATGATATTATACATATGCACGTCAATTTGTTTCACGATCTGATTCAAGATGGTCGAATGGCGGCCATTTTTGTGCTAAAAATCATCAAAATCAAGCATTTCTCGGCTGTTTACAGATGGATTTTGTTCAAACTTGGTATATACATTAGACATTATGGGACCTTGATTCAAATAGTTTTGTTTTTCAGATAAGATTCAAAATGGCCGACTGGTGGCCATTTTGTTTTAATGAATTTGGTTCTCGTGCCATATCTCTGACTTGCTTTCACTGATTGTGTTCAAATTTTAAATATTCATTATACACAATGTCATAGATAAACAGATATAATCATTTGACGATCATATTCAAAATGGCCGAATGGTGGTCATTATTGTGCTAAAAAATCATCAAATATCAAGCATTTATGGATGGATTTCGTTCAAACTTGGTACATATATTAAACATTACAGGTTCCTGATGCACAGCATTTATTTTTCAGATTGGATTCAAAATGGCTGTCTGGCGGCCATTTTGTTTTAATGAATGGGCTTCTAGAGCCATACCTCTTAAATGCTTTGACTGATTATATTCAAAATTTATATATTCGTTATACATCATGTTATATATATACATGTATTCAAAATGGCTGTTCCAGAGCAATATCTCTCAATATGGACAAGTACTTGTTTGACGATCAGATACAAATGTCAATCATTTTAATGTTAAAAAAAATCATATTCCTGACATGGTTATATTCCAGCTATATAACTATAAACAAAACTATATACCTTAAATTTGATAACGGGGACTGTGCCATGCATGGCTTGTGTTTATTGCATTTAATCATTTGTTCAAATACAGATTTTATTATAAACTTGACTTTTGAGCTCATAATTTTTGAGAAAGTTGGTCATAAATCGCATGACAATGTTAAATGGTTTATTTTGTAAGCTTGTGTCTCATGGCACCATGAAATGGCATTAGTTTGTGCATTACAGTGACGCATTTCGATAAATTTGTCATATTTTCCAAAAATTGCTATTTTTAGAACAATTCCATTTTTTGCCAGTTAAAACCGTGATTTTTGAAATAATTGAGAACAAAAAATAACTTATCATTCATAATGTATAATTTTTTCAGCCTATGTCACCAGCCATAGAAACCTATAGTAAAAGCATTATAATACTGACAAAATGACCACTATTCACTAAAATACAACCATGGTTTTCTCGAAAGTTAAGCTTTTTTTTTTTTTTTAAGTCAATATCCTTGTATTGCCCAAAACATTTATTGGAAAATGAATAAATTTTGGGTTATTAAAATCATGAGTTGTTTTCTACCATAAAGGCAAAATACAAGTTGAATTTGTTCAATTATTGTCAATGAAAACTGCATAGGCGACGGGTATATAATTTGCTCCCAGTTGGCCAAACTGACATGCATGTGCAATTATGAATGAAAAACTGTACAAGAGTATTGCAGACTGGCAGCCATCTTTCAACTGATTGTTGAAAAAAATTGGTGTGCTAAATATGAATGGAATAACAGTACACAGGCCTCGAAGATATAGTAGTATGGCTGAAAAGCATAGTTCAATTGCAAAATGAATTTTCATTGACATGTATAATGTAATTCATGTACAAAATTTTAACAAATGACTGTAAAGCATGTCCATATTTTCAACAAACAAGATGGCTGCTATCTTGGATTGAATCGCCAAATTACTGTATTTGTACATTTCCCATATAAAGACCATGGTGGGTAGGTGGGTGACTGATGTTGGTGGTATAGCCATCTGAGATCAAGTTAGCCCCTGCATAAAAGCTTTTACTGCATCTTGTGTGATACCTCTGCCTAAAATGACCCTTAGTATGGTGTTAATTGTCGATTCAATGTTGATGCTGTAGAGGGTGCTAGAAGAAATCACCAAATTCGGAAACATGCCCAGCAGCTATAGTATAATCTGACAAAGCTCTGGGTTCTATGAAGATAGAATTGTGAGCAATAGAGTCCATCACTGACTGTCAGAACAAAGATAGCTGATAGGATGTTCAAACCTTTTTTTTTTTCAAACAAGATATAAATTCAGAACAATTAGTAACTACATCCCCCATTCAATCAACCATTTCAACAAACTACCATAATAGCATAAACTGAAGGGGTATCCACGATGAAACATTTCCATGATCCACTATGTAACGTGTATAATTCTTGGGTTATGTGCAAATGTAGAGTCGCCATGTTACAAAAATTGTAATTGAAGGCCGACTAACCACACGTGCTGTTCAGTTCTATCAACATTACACATGTGGGTAGCTAGTTGCAAGCCCATCATTTCTAAACTGATTGGTTTGCATTAGAATTTCACTTGCATATCTAAAATTTGGTATTTTAAAAAACTGATTGAAATACAAGCATCACATTCCTTACAAAAAAAAAAATGTGTTTCAAAAATTAGACTTTCAATTCATGGATGATCAAGAAGGCAATCTTGCAGCCGACTAAAAGTTGTAATTGTGGTGTGAAACCTATAAGTTCAGATCTATGCAAGACTCAGAAGTGTGGAGCATTTCATGAAACCGAAAATAATTACTTTCAGTATAAGGTTACCTTTGCGAGTTTATAGGTTTATGGTTACAGTATTACTGATATTATAGTGGCTGGTACTACTTTGATAATTAATTCTAAGATACATTGTCACTGACATAATCTCACTTTTGTGCACAATTACTACCTTGTCCAACTAACTGTGATTGTAGCCTCAAATCTAGTCCCTGTTAGGATAAATTGAATTCTATTCTGTGCGTCTGCACCTGTATCTCAGACATGCCTGAACTACTGTAAATTACTTTATTTTCGCTTCGAAGTAATTTTCGCTGAAGGAATGGTTCAGTGAAAATAAAATACAGCGAATTTACTTGTATTCCTATATTTTACATTCAACTCATCAAAAATCAGTGAAAATAAATTCCATACAAAACACCCAAAAAGTCTTTTCAGCAAAGATTAATTCCAACTATGCTTTACTGAAATCTTTAAGTAACATTTTATTGTATAAATTGCAGGTAATATTTATAAATTCGTCCTTGTTTATATTATTGTGGGTCACACACACACACACAGGCAGGCAGGCAAACCAAACAATTAATTGAAATTGAAAAACTAAACATTTAGTACAACGCCACCATTCAGACAAATATTTTATAAAATACTAGTAGTTGCAAGACTCTAAATAAATAAAGTTTTATGAATGTGTAAAACATCACTCCCAGAACATACAATTTGCTCATTTACCTAACAAATATGCTGAAGATAGACACATGACTGGACAGCAGGTATCACTGTGTCATTTTATTTTAGCTGGAATTAATTTTCGCTGAAAAAGCTTTTGGGTTTTTTGTATGGAATTTATTTTCACTCTTTTTTGATGAGTTTAATATGAGACATAGGAAAAAAAGTATATTCGCTGGATTTTATTTTCAATGAAGCATCCCTTCAGCGAAAATAAATTCCAAGCAGAAATAAACTATTCTACAGTATACTGCAAACCAAATAAATTTGTCTCGTATTGCTCATTACTGATGATGTTTACTGCTCTATTAGAATCTCACACACTTTAATACACAAAAGATCTCAGAAAAAAAAATCATAACAAAAGTGTTTACAGGAGATGTGCTTCTAATACTTTATTGTGTTGGTGTGTTCTGTTGTTGGCTGCATACCCTATTCTTATTTTGAGCACAATAAATTGTTTCTCAAAAATTTTTATTTTTTTTAATATAAACGGTTCAAACAGAATTTCAAGCCATTTTTAATAAAGCCAAAATAAATCGAAAAATGTTTTTGGAGATACACTTCTAATAGAGAAATACTTTTGTCATCATTTCATGTGGAATTCTTGATGAAACATATGTTATTGCCATTTTTAAAATTTCTCATCAAAAATATTTGAAAAAAAATAAATTTTGTAAATAAAATAAAAATATATTGTGATATTATAATGATGATGCTAATTTTACAGCAACGATCTCATCTTTTATCAACTGAGAAATCTGCTGTTTACTGTATCCAAGATTGGACAATATTTGCTGTGTGTGTTGGCCAGGAAGAGGAGTTGGCTTCACTGAACTCACACCTGGTGTCTTAGACATCAGAGGTGCTGGTCGAGGTTCCGCTTCTCCAATCTCATTGGTCAGAAACAACTTCCTGTCACGGTTGTGCGAGTGTTGAACTGCTTCCTCCAGTGTAGGAACTGGAGTGACACATGCATCAGTACCATCAAATATTGTACACCACTCATCTTGAGTTTTAGTTGCAAATATTTGGTTAAATTTCTCCTTCATTTCTGGCCATTTATACATTTCCATCTGTCCTGGCAGATCCTCGTCATCCGCTAGCCCCAGACCTACAAGAATAGAGAGTAATTATGAATGCACTGTTCCTTCCAGTGACATGTCTTTGGTGACAACTTTCTGCAATTGACCATTATGTTCTTTTACAATAATACCAGTTTACTTGATACAACAATAAAAGACATTTAAGCCACTAGAGGGCTACCCAAT